CCCCCCTTCCCGCAGAGTTTTCTCTCATTGACCAAAAAGATATAAACAGGCAACATTTAGCACCTCTGAAGTCCATGGAATTGCAACTGCTTATAATAGGTTCAGACCTGGACAACTGAGTGGAAAAGACTCATTCATACAGTTATAGGCTAAGGTAATTACAATGAAATCCAATGGTTGTCTGCTTCTAGAGGCTTCACATTTTTAAGAAGGGCTTTTATTTTGAAAGAGCAGAAAGCAGGAAAAACTATTAGTGTATATTAGGGCCTTCTTACACAGTAATTTTAGGTGGCTTCTGAAGCTCTTAAGCTCTTCACTGGCTGCACGTTAACCCCCTTAAGTGATTTAAAGCACTCGGTATTCAGCTTAAAATAATACCACTCCAAGGCAGAATTATCTCTAGTCCACCTAATTTTGCTCCTGTTCCGTTAAGGTGTGGCCATGCTCCACAGCTATTCCACCCAAGTTGAAGTCATCCAACATCCCAGCATGCAGTGACCCCTCCCAAATCAGGGCAGTGATGCTGGGGGGCACTGGGGATAGGCATGGTGCTTTTGTGCCACTGCTCCCACTGGGCAGAGCCAGTGCTGCAGCCCTGGAGTGCCCAGAAGCCTCAGTGCCTTCTGGACTGGCTTGTGGTTCTGAATGCCTGGGGTGGACTTGGTCCATGGTACCTGTGGAGGGCAGCAGGCTGGTACTGGCCCCTCCTACTGAGCCATGGTTGAACCTGCTCCTAGTCCTGTGCTCTGCTGCAGCATGCCCCCACCCAGTGCCTGTGCCTCCATCACCTGCAGACATGCCCAGGTGGGGCCAGGCAACTGGAGCAGGGTGGAGCTTGGTGGCTGCAGTGCAACAGCCCAAGGCCAGTTCCCTCTGACCCTGTGCTTCACCAGGCTGTGCAGGGTGCAGTCATTGGCTTCCCCTGGCTGGGTCACCTAGCAGCAGCTGCAATTAGTAAATCTGAAGCCCCTAAACCCCCATAGCTCCTGGGTGGCTCCAGCAGCAGAGCCTGGGGCCTGGTGCTGCCCTTCCAGGCTTGGACTGCACAGAGCAGCTGGGGAGGCTGTGCTGCTCACAACCATGTCCCAAGCCTGGCAGGGACAGGAAGTTCCATCTCTGTACCCCAGAAATATGCAAATAAGTCCTCTTCTTGTTTACTTTATATTACTCATCATAACCGCCATTGAGAGTGAGAACTGGGTCTCTCTCACACCACTGCAGCAACAGCACCAGGAGGGGAAGAAAAGAAGGGACCCCTTCCCCTGCTGAAGCCCAGCTCCTGCGGTAGGGAGGGGCCCAATCCTTTTGCTCAGGGCCCCCAAAATTCTTAATTTGCGTCTAGGTACAGGGAAGGGACTTCCTACCCCTGCCAGGCTTGGGAAGCTGCTATGAATGGTGAAGCCTCCCTGCCTGCTCTGTGCAGCCTCAGCCCAGGTGGTTGGTACTGAGCCCCACGCTCCATGCTCAGAGCCACCCAACTGCTACGGGGGTTTAAAGGGCTTCAAGCGCCTGCAAACCTCAGCTGCTTTCAGGCAAGCCAGGAGGAGAGAGCTAGCAGCCGGACCCTGTACAGTCCGACAGAGCATGGGGCTAGTGGGAAGTGGTCTCAGGCTACTGCACTGTAGCTATCAATCTCTGCCCTGCTCCATCCATCTGGCTCCACTGGCGCATGTGTCCAGTATGGCTGTGCGAAACGGCACTGTTCCGTTCCAACTTCAGTTTCAAGGTCTGGCCGGAACACTGTTTTGTATCGAATTTCATTTTGAGTCAAAATAGCCTCGTTGTTTTGCTTCATCAAAACAGTGAGGCTGTTTTGATGCTGTTTCAATGTTTCGCCTGACCATGATCAGGCTGGAGAAACTCAGCCCAGCTGGGCTGACTTCCTTTCCCAAGCCCGATCCTAGTGCTGGGGATGGCAAGTTAGCCCAGTTAGGCTGACTCCCCATCCCCTGCCGGATCTAGTGCCGGGGATGGGAAGTCATCCCAGCTCGGCTGACTCCCTGTCCCCCACCCAATCAAGCGCTGGGGATGGGAAGTCAGCCCAACTGGGCTGACTTTCCATCCCCAGTGCTATAGTTGAAACATTTCAACTAGCTTCGTTTTGTTTCGAGGCTGTTTCGAAGCCTTTTGGTTCATTTTGATTTTGCTGTTTCAACCTCAAAATAAGTTGAAACAGTGTTGAAATAAAATGGATAGCAAAATTTTGCACAGCCCTAGTATCCAGGTCCTGAGCCTGATCCTTTTTTTCTCTGGAGTTCACCCCGCTATGCTACCACCGGGTGGGCTTTGGGCTGTCTGTGCACCACCTGAGCTTGGAGGGGCTTGATCCTTTTCAGAGCTCAGGTGGCGCCCAGCTGGCCATCATGCCAGGAAGAGGCAGCGCAGGTGGGCAGGCCGTGAAGAAAAAAAGGATCAGGCCCCTCGGAGCTCAAGCCATGAGCTGGTTCTGCCCCTAGCTCCTAGTCCAGTCCCTACTGACCAAGCCTCCAATGGCAAGTCACAGCTGTGAAGGTGAAGGACAGTCACAGATTTTTTTTGTCTTAAGGTGTGACTGCTTCACTAGGCTGAACAATACTAAACTGATTAACATTTGTTTGGTTTACAGCATAAGGTATAACAAGGCCTTTAGTGTTGCAGGAGTTCCCACAGCCTCTACTCATGGCCCAGGACCCTTTAAATGAGAGGCTATGTACAAAGAGAAAAAGGTCTCCCAAAAGGGCTTGACAAAAACAAGTGACCTTCAGTTCTTACTGGCTCTGGAGCCACCCGAGCCATAAGCGTTAATCAGAGAGCCAAAACATGATACCCTTATGTGATCTGTGATTTTGGACACTCCTGTTTCAAATTAAAAAACTATAAATCAATGGCCAGGCATTACTAATGCACTGTTTTATCAAACTTCTACATTACATTGCAAAAATACACAATTACTCTAAAAAAAGGCATACCCAATGCACAGGGCAAAAAACTTCTTCTGATAATATTTCAAAAAGCCCCTAGGGATAAACTGAAAAGCTACAGTCTAAGTATCACTGTTTGTATTCCCACAGCATACAATTTGGGTATTAACCAAGTTGGATAGCATGTTGGGGAAATACGTGAATAAGCAATTAAAGCAATTTAATAAAAAGCTCCTCAAAAATAGTCCAGTAATAGAAAAAGGACCCAGCCCCAGTATGAGAGTTAGCAATACTGCAGTCCATTGTGGGAAGTAAAGAACATTTCCAAAACTACTGATAACTGTAAGTACTTTTGTATATAGTAAATTAAATGGACATGCATCATGATAGTTTCCAGCAGTACTCACACAAAAATTTAGCTGAAGATTTTCTTCAATATCATCATGTTCATCATCTAGAATTGCCTGCATACTTCTAAAACAAACAAAATATGTTTACAAATTGTTAGATTACAGATCACACAACAAATTATCCTGCATCTGGAGAAGTGAAATTTCAAACATTTATTACTGATTGCAACTATGAACTGCCATCATTCAAATATGACACTGTTCAAAATTATTTACTGCATAAAGCTTGCTACATTTACCTGAACTTAAACAGCCTTTGAAAGTAAGAGTACTTCTAACTGCAGAAACCAAACTTTGTGAAGTGCATATTCAAAGGTAGATTTCATACCTGGTCAGGGAGAAAGGCCACCAAAACTTTTTGCTCAAAGCCCAATAGAAAACCTACACCTGCTTTCTTGCTCTATTCCATTTATTGCATTTTCTCAGCTTTATGTCCTGAGTTCTGTTTTTCCTACCAGTCTCTGTTTTCTCCATAACTTCAGCTCAAGCTAAGAATTTTTGTTTTGTTAATATTTATCCAGCAAAAACCTGCATCTCAAGTATGTTTGTCCCCCCAGAACATCTAGTATTTATTTCTTAGCAGTCAAAAGGAATTCCACAATATAAAATACACGTGCTTATACACATGTTGCTATTGTTCACATCAATTATTAGTAACAGTAATTTGTCCATTCTTCATGTCTTAACAACGAACCTTGACAATCTCTAGGTTTTGATGACAATATAAGCGATTCAGCCTTTGCACCATTAGTTACACTGATAGACTCCCAATAGTGAAATGCATGTAATATATTTCAGGATTGCTTTTCGCTGTATTCTCCTCTTCCTCTCCAAATAGACAGCACAGTGTACAAGATAGAATTTACACTAGGATGTACTACTCCAGACATATAACTGAAGGTACTATATCTCCCTAAACGGTGGGTTGATACATATTCATAAATGCACCTCCTCCAGTTACAAGCCATGTTCTCAATCCACAAGTCCAAAACTACTCTCACAGAGATATTGGATCACAGATCAGAACTAAGCAGACATCATTGACTTTAGTGTGAGCTCTACTATATTCCCTGCTGCAATCTTCAGTTTGACTATTTCACAGACAATTGAAATGACAGCCCCCTGCATATAAAACTCCACTTGATCCAAGCTGCAATCTACTCTCCTGTAAGAGAAATAGGGGCTCCTGAAAAAATATTTCCCGTGTGGGCCTCAGGTCGGCAGACTGTATGACAAAAATCAAGCACTGAAAAAGCATAAAAACAAACATCAGCTGCACCAGTGCTTCCAGCTATTTATGTTCTTGTATGGTCCCGTTTCCAATTTAATCAATGCATCAATTAATCCACTCAACCACTCTTCAGGGAAATAGTGCCCACAGAGAACAGGGGCACAGAGAACTTAAGTAACTTCCCCAATTAGCAGAGCTGAAAAATTAATCCTATCTCAAGGCCCACTTCACTGCACACCATCCTGCCTCAGTTTTATCTAAACATATAGTAAATATGAACAAGCTTTCATGCCTACTGATACATGTGGGAAATGCACACAACACCTTACACAGCTAACCAAAACCAAAGCCAAAATAACTTACTTCCCTATAACAGCACTCAGCTCCTTCAAATCTTCCAAGGAAGGCTTCACATCCAAAAGTTTCTTAAAAACAGCGAGTGGAAAAGGGATATAGGCAATGACTCCATTGAAGAGAGCTAGCCCACACAGGATCCCAAAGAGATAATATTTTTTCTTCTCTATTGAAGGCTGAAAAAAAAAATCCCAAACCTTTGCACCTTTAAAACATCTATTCCAACTTATTAAAAGATCATTGTGGAAAAGAGAACAGGCAAACCAGATCTGAGAAACTCTGAAAACAAACATACTGAAAACACACATACAAGGAGGAAACCTTTTAGTTTATTTCTAAGCAATAAAAATGTTAGTGGCCAGATTAAACGGAGCTGGAAAAGGTCAAAGGTAAAATATATAACACTCTTTACCATGCTTTTCTAAAATGATCCTTCCAGTAGAAGAGAAATATCCACAAAATATCAAATACAAGAGGTGAAACTGTTCAAAAGAAACTTTGCCAAATAGAGTGGTGCTCTCCAAGGCCCCTGCCACATGTTATATATATTACAATAAATTTAAACTGGTCACACATGCAAATTAAGACCCCCCAAAAGTACCAATTAATTATCATGCAATTAACTAGTAAATCACGCAATAAATTTAGCGTGGCCATGTGCAAAGTAATTATCATGACATAAAAATCTCTACCCTGCTATAAAAAAAAAAACACATAATTTATTTTCCCTAAACTATTACTTGATGGGTATTCTCTTATTTTGTCCCCTCCTTTTGATCTTTTTTCAGAGGTGAACAATCTTAGTCTTTTCAATCTCCTTTCATGCAAGTTTTGCACACCTCTGCTCATTGTCATTGTTCTCCTTTGAATCCCCTCAAATCCTACACACAAACAAACATCCAGCTTGTGCAGACTCACTCTTTTGGAAATTTCCACTGCTTTCCAACAAGCTTCCTAGCAACCTCTGTGCAAAAGACAAGAAAATCTGGAATCAAAGTTCACATGCCCTTGACCTCTTGGGCCAAAACAGTTTGAGCTGATGCTGACTTACATTAGTAGGAAACCACATGGGGGACGTGGTCTCACAATACATGAACAGTCCATAGTCTGGATGAACCATTTCCTCAAACAAGGTAAGGAAGAATTCTAATGTCACTCCTCCTGCATCGAGGCCAATCTCTCCTTTAAAGGCCACCTGCAATGATACAGAAAGACTGATGTTCCCCTTGGCTACTGTTTTGAAGACATTAATGGATAAGGATTCCCAATGAACTGGAAAAATAACACTCATCTCTCCACGTGAAGACAAACTGCCTGCTTAGCTCATGGGTTTGTAACAGTCAGACCTTTTGAAGACCAGAAAATGGGAACAACTGGGAAACAACTGGGAACAGGGATGATTTGGGAGGTCTTCATCATCCCTGGTCTTTCAAACTGCCACTTACACCTCTCAACTTCTAAAGTGATACTGGTGACAAATTTCTATAGTCTAGCGTATTATGCCTGCTAAGAGGCTGAAAGCCCAACTTCCATATTGCTCCCTGTACTCTCAAGACAACCAGAACTACCATTCAGATTCACCTTGTGTCTGCAGTCCCAAGCAAGAGCCAGGCCACACCAGATTAACCTAAATTCCAATGAAGGACCACAAGGTCTGGTTCCACAGTAACTCAGGGCTAGGCAATGTTATCACATGGAGTAAATGTTCCCTATATGAGTGATCCACACATGAAGTCACTAAACTTGTGGCATTAGTCTTTGCTTATGAGGGTCATAGAGTTAAAGTCTTGAAAGCCTCATGGAGATTTTAAAAGCAGTCTATCCAATTTATAATATAGAACCACATTAATCTATTGTGAACTATGCCTGCTCCACTAGTCAGGTGTTGTCAGATGTGTTATAGCTAGAACCGCTCAGAAAATATTTTCATAGATTTCAAAAGATTTCATAGACATTAGGGCTGGAAGGGACCTCAGAAGATCATTGAGTCCAGCCCCCTGCCCAAAGGGCAGGAAGTCAGCTGGGGTCATAGGATCCCAGCAAGATAAGCATCCAATTTACTCTTGAAGGCGTTCAAAGTAGGTGCTTGAACCATCTCCGGCAGCAGGCCATTCCAGACCTTGGGGGCTCGGACAGTAAAGAAATTCTTCCTTATGTCCAGTCTGAAACGGTCTTGCAGGAGTTTATAACCATTTGACCTTGTCATCCCTTGGGGTGCTTTGGTGAACAAATGTTCCCCCAGATACTGATGGTCACCCCTGAAGATTTTGATTTTTCATTAAAAACAAATTTTGAAAATATTTGGCCAGAAATCAAAAAGTTTCCAGTTTTTGGCCAACAACTTTTGGATTTTTCTACAATGCTTTAAAATATTTCTGCAGAAAACAAAATTTTTATAAATAATTCCTGGAAATTGAAAACCCCATTTTCTATGGAGAAACAATTTCAGGGAATAGTTTTTCTATCAGCCATAATTCTAACAAGTTTCCAAGCTCACCAACAAATCCCCTTACTGTAATTGACTGAAAAGAACCCTCTGAAGTATGACTAAATACCTTACCATCAATTGCTTTTTCAGAGCGCTATCCTCTACCAGACATAGTTTGCGTAAAGTATCTTCAACCAAGTTGTTGCGATTAACCTCAAGAGGAAATATAGGAAAGTCGGGAAGGTCACTATTTCTCAGCAGCTGATTCTGTATGATTATGTTCTGGGCTATTACCTTTGCTCCCTAAAAGAAAATTAGTACATTAATAAATACAGCAATGTTTTCAGTACCTTGCTGTGAAAAAAATACTGCCTTGCCAATAAAGTCAAACCTCTTCCTCTTCTCTATGGACCATGGTATTTTCCCCTCTACTTTGCATTTTTATGTCAAGTGTACCTTCTTTGGAGAAAGTGGTATTCATATCAGACTGTGTAATTACAACTTCTTTAATAAAAAGAATCACATAACCATGTGAATGAGTTACATTACAAGAAGAGTCGATGTCCAGGTAAATCTGATAGAAGTGATTAAGGCAGTGGCTCTCAACCTCAGTTTCAGAACAGTAGAGCTAAAAATGGGTCAGATTTCTTCTGGGACAAAGCCTTTTAGCCTCAGAGACCTACAAGCTCTTTTAAGTGCCTGTGAAGTATCCAAAATAACACTCCCCTCCCCTGTACTGGACAACATAGAATAATAGAAAATTAGGGTTGGAAGGGACCTCAGGAGGTCATCTTGTCCAACCCTCTGCTCAAAGTAGAACCATCCCAACTAGATCATCACAGCCAAAGCTTGCTTTGTCTAGCTGGGTCTTAAAAACATGTAAGGAGGAGAGGGAGGGCATTAATTTGAGTTAACTGTCATTCAAGCTGTGTATGTAAATGACTATCCCATACTTGTTTTGATGCAAGTCAAAGCCCGGGACAATCACAACTGGGATAAACCCAACATCTATTTTTACCCTAAAGGTGTAGTATACTTAACCCAAATCTTCTCCATTGAGGAAAAGGAGCGAGATGCAGGAAAAAGCTATTAAAATTCTACCACCTTCATGTCCACAAACTAAAAATGCTACTGTGCGTTTCAGAGTATTGTAAGACCAGGTCATACCTGTTGGAGGAGCACTGAATCAGTGCGGAACACTTGAATCTTGGAAACCAAATTAAAGACAAAAGGAAAGCGGCAGAATGTGACAAGCGTGTTGTCATCACCAGCAGAATTCTACCAATGAGAGAATGGGATGCAAAGTTAGTTCCAGTTTTCATTTTCTTGAGCTACTGATTCTCCTGCCAAAGCTCTAGTTATAGCTGTAAACATACAGAGCTTCCTTCCCTTTCTTACCCAGATGATGCCTGAAAGAAGAGAATTATCATCCCTTCTCCAAACCTCTTGGAGTAGTGGCTCTGCACCATGGGCACAGGGCCTTTGTTCCCTTGTCTCTGTCACTGAATAGGGGTGTTACCTTGAGGAATTCACTTCACCACCCTATACCTCAGTTTCCCTTCCCACGCATGGCCTATTTTGATTTAGATTGTAAGCCTTGTGGAGCACAAACCATCTTTATTTATGGGTCTGTACAGTGACAAGGGACCCATGCTAATTGGAGACTCTTAAGTACTTCAGTAACACCAATAAGTTAATAATTATACACAAGGAATAACCACTTAAGTAAGCATCTGCCTACCTCAGGAAACCATAGTCTCATACTTACAGCTGTAGCTTGCCATCTGCGCCACCTGGCTACATCCTCCTGAAGATTAACTGTGCTGGAGATTTCAGGGATGTAAAAATTACTTAACTGCAGGGTGGACTTAGCTTTCTTGTTTGCCTTCAATGGGAATAAAATTTGAGTTAGGATGCATGTGTTGGCTTAGAATCAGACCATTCTCTTTGCACATATTAACACACTTACTCGGTACAGCTTTTTCAGCACTTCCAGAAGAGGTATGGCATTTTGACAAGAGGGGTAGGTATAATACCATTTTAACTGAGAAACTACTGCCATTTTAAACAGCTGTACCATATTGTCCAAACATGATGCTGACAAAGACAACCAACATTTTTCTGAAACATAAAAGAAAAATATTCATGTAAATGAAACTTCTCTGCCAGAAAAAGCAAAAACAAAATAAAACACCCTAAGAGGCACCAATAATGCTCATCTACCTTTCAGCTAGGATTTTCATGAAATATACTGATACGTGTTTGTAAATGGTTTGAGGGAAAGCATTATTTGCAGTTAGACATTACAAACCACCCATTTACATGCTCTATCACCAAGACACACAAAAAACTGTAGTAAATTGTGACACACTGACCAAAAACATGAACATGTGACCAATAGTCCTGGTCAGACATCAAGAGTGCCCACTGTTTGTTCAGGATGAGGATGGAAGTATGTGATCTGTGAGTGACTAAAGAGATATTACTGAACTAGAGATGATGAACCAGTGATTTTGTTCACCTGCGATTGTTCACTCTGCAGATGGATGTAGTGACTTATATGCTTGTTTCCTTGATTATCATTATTATTTCCACTACTACAGCACAAAGGAGAGCTAGTCATGGGCCTGCACCCCCACTGGTCTAGGTGCTATACAAATACAGAGCAAAAAGACACCCTGACAAAAGCTTACTTTTGACTTGCATTGCCATAGTGGCTTATTCTGAATTTAGCTAAAGGGAACAGTCATTATCTGTGGAAAATCTTGTCCACATAATGTATTGAGAGAAAGAAAGGAAGGGCATGTTAACAGCCTCAAAGAAATGAGAAGGACCGCTGCAGTGAAGGACAGCATCTCTGCTCTGGATATGCTACTACTTAAAAGAGATGTAATGCAGCTGCCTTCATGCAGCACTGGGAATATACCCATAAACACTCTTGAGAGTGTGAGCTCACTGGCACTTATGGCTAGAGCCTCATTTAGGTGGCTATGTCACATCTATTTTGGGGTGCATCTTGCACAAGTACATCATGCTTCACTGCAATATTCTCTAGTGAAGTCCTTGCATGGGTAAATATGCCAAAAAAGCCCCAAAGGGTTTATGATCAAAGATATGTGACAGACAAATCGATAGCTTCAAAAATTTGAGGGAGGATAAAAGTGATATACTTGACAGCATGACAAGCAGTTGCCTCAGCACACCAGCATGTATGCCACTTTAATGCCTCTCAGCAAAATCCGAGTGGTCGCAAAGCTTCCTATCATACGTGAATGAACTCTACCTGACTCAAGAAGTCTATGGGCCAACGAGAGGTAAAGTGCTGCTCAACCTGGTGCTGGCTACAGGGGATGACCTAATCGGCAACCTAGCGATCGATGGGAAGCTGGGTGACAGCAACCACGAGCTGATCACCTTCGCCATCTGCCGTAAAGCTGGCAAGTCAGTCAGCAACATGGAAGTCCTTGACTTCAGGAAAGCCAACTTAGACAAGCTCAGGAGGCTTGTCAGTGAGGCCTTAAGGGACCTCGACTGCAGCGGGAGGGGAGTTCAGGAAGAGTGGTTGCTCCTCAAGGGAGCGATCCTCAATGCACAAGCTAAGTCTATTCCATCTCGGAGGAAAGGCAGCAAGAGGGCACAGCAGCCCCCCTGGCTCTCCAGGGACCTAGCAGACCTCCTGAGGCTAAAAAGAAAGGCCTACAAAGGATGGAGGATGGGATTCCTCCAAGGAGAAATATTCTGCACTGGTCCCATCCTGCAGGGAGCAAACCAGGAAAGCCAAGGCTGCAACTGAACTCCAACTAGCTTTGAGTATCAATGACAATAAAAAGTCCTTTTTCAGATATGTGGGAAGCCGGAGGAAAAGCAGGGGCAACATTGGACCTCTGCTAAACCAGATGGGACAACTGACGCCCAGGAAAATGCCAACCTATTAAACAGGTACTTTGCATCAGTCTTTCATCAGTCCCGTGGGACGCCCGTGCCCGCTACGGGACAGGGTGGTCTGGGTGAGGGAGATCCCTTGCCCTCCATCAATGCTGACTTCATGAAGGAACGCCTTGAGAAGCTGGATACCTTCAAGTCAGCAGCCCTGACAATCTACACACCAGGGTACTCAAGGAGCTGGCGAGCATCATAGCCCAGCCCCTGGCACGGATCTTTGAAAACTCCTGGCGCTCTGATGAAGTGCCTGAAGACTGGAAGAAGGTCAATGTGGTGCCTATCTTCAAGAAAGGGAGGAAAGTGTATC